GATTGATGCAAGTCTGAATTTCGCACCCTTTCCTTCAAGTTCTTGGGTGTATTGCAGAGGACTGGCGTTTTCTATAAATGGCACAGCGTAATTAGCCAAACTTAGATAGATGAGCAGTTCCTGACTGATGTTAATTTCACCGTTCCAGTTTATCTTCTGGAGCACCAATTTCTCACAGGTAGTGAAGAGTTACGAGGAGAACGTGTCCCCTTGTTTCACGCACTTCTCTGCAAGAACCTGAAGGGACGTCGAACAGTGTGATGTTCATGAAGCAACCAGAGTTAGCTTCCTTTAGCGGATTTTGGGACGGGTGTAGATGCCCTGTTCTGCCGGTGCATTCCGCTCTGCGTTTTGCTTGACAGTGGCAAACGCCTTCGCGTAGTCGACGAAGTCTATACAACGAGGAGGCTGAATTTCCCTTGGGTGTTCAAGTAGTTAAGCTAGGGTAATGACGTCACTCGTTTTGCTCTGGCTCCTTTGGAATCCATCCTGTTCTCCTGGCGGCTGTTCATCCACATTAATTAATAGTCGTTTGGTGAACGACTTGTAGACTTGTGAAAGCAGGCAAATCTGGCGGCAGTTCTTCAGGTTTCTTCTCGCCCTTCTTGAACAGCGCGATTCTACTTGACTCCTTTCAGCTTGATGGTAATTTTTCCGTTTCCAGGTAGCAACTGAACATTTCCGCCAAAGCTTCCCAGAGTCTGACCACTTGTTCTGATCATTTCAATTGTCAGACCGTCTCTCCATGCTGCGGTTCTTCCTTGCTTCATTTGCTTCGCTTATGAGAACTAGGAACGCCGTTCCTTCTGACTGTCGGACGGATGGAGAGGGACGCGTGTGTGACCTAACGAGCTGTGTGTAAAGGCTTCCTACGGCTAGACTGCATCTCAGTGTTGTCAGACACTAATGCGCCATCTCTGTTCCTAAACGCCTTGATAATCGACTTATAAAGCGCTAACTTTCTGTCGCATTCTTTGTGGCTTTAGTGGTCTTCAGCGGTTTTCTCTAATTTTCTCAAACCAGAGGTTTTGAGGTCCTTCTTCCGCTTCCGTCTTATGAGGCTGCACAGAAGAGAGTACTCCACCGTGTCGGTCACATCTCCCTTCATCCTCATCCACTTTACTAGCAAAACGTTTGCTTCTTCTGAGACCCTTCCATTCGCTCTGACTGATGTTGCCATCTCGGCTGACTTGATGCGTTACCTCAGTTTCTCAATGAACTTCTAGCAGTCGTCATCGCAGAGCTGCCAGCTCCGGTCTTCCCCGCAAATGCTGTTCAGAGCGCCGACTAGTTGGACTTCTTCAGTCGCTGTTTGTGATTCGCCACCTGCAATGCCTTTCTCTCGATCTTCTCCTCAAACGTTAGCTTGGTCTAAACCAGCCTATGGTCCTTGCCGGGTGTTAAGTGATGGGATCATGGTCACATGTCGGATGATACGGCATTTATCGAACAATGGCAAGATTCACGGCCACATCCCGTTGGTCTTATTATTGGCTCTTGAACCAGGAATTGCCAATTTGTACGTGTGGCGTTTCTTCCATGATCATCAGGCAATATTCCCGCACATTTCGCGCAGCTCTCTGATGCCATGCCTGCAGACACATTTTTCACCGGCCTTTTTCTGTTAGATGTTGGCACTGAAGTATCTTCTATGATGTACAGGAAACTATGATGTTCATTGAACTTTAGAACCAATGCCTGTACAACTGTACTTGTGGGAGCAGAGGTTGAGATGATCTTCAAGGTCCTTTTTTCAGTTTGAGGCAAAACATGCCCAGTCTTGGTGTCTTCACATGGCAGGAGAAGATTTTGGGGGACTAGCTTTTGCTGTGTACAAATCCGATTCTTCCTATGTTTTTCGCCTTCTCTGCACATCTTAGCCAAATCGAACCACCGTCCTCCCAGATGCTGTTCATCCCCATCCTTCATCGCTTCTCATAGAGGCCAATGATGTAACAGGCCATCGCTGACCGTTTCTTCACTAGTTGGCTGTACGCTTCTTCTCTCGCCGGTGTTCAGCAGTTATGGATATAAATATCGAGGGAAGTCAGGTTCGTTTGCCAGAGGGCTTTTTTTCACCTGTGGTTGCAGCTTTAGCAGTCCCTCGTCAATCGAGCAACGAACCTCCTCCGTGGAACAGGTTGAGAGGCGTGCAGGGCACTGACTGCCATCTGTTCGTGTTGTCATAACGCAAGAAGCTCTTTCACTCGCTGGCAAGGTTGAGGGTGGCCTGCGAAATATCGTGCAGACCAGTTCTTTAGTTCCCTTAGGTTTGTTTCATCGATGGTTTGGTTGGTCAATTCTAGCCTTTCACCAACTGCAACATAGCGGTGACATTGACAGCCTTTTTTCCTAAAAGGAGCTGGTCGTCTTCCGCTCGACGTCAGGCTGTGACTTTCCATGCGATGGTCGAATTTGTATTGTGGTCTCGCTGCTGCCTGTCCGCTACTGCTTATTTGTCGTCCCAGCTAACCTATATATTGGGAGGTCGTTCGCCTATCCGCAACCCAGTGACACGCTGGATGGCCAGCAGCTAAACACGCCATTGTCTTTCATGCAGGGTGTCAGGAATTACCCTCTTTTGTTGAGGAAATAGGCATGATCTGCGAGATACGGACTTCCCTTACAGTTCCGCGGTACATCCTACTTTTAGCCTTCTTTTCTGCGGCTTTTGTAGAGACACCGACATCTTCTTCGGTGCCATCAACTAAGAATGTCTTGAGTGTGAACTCAGTATCT